AGTCTTAGATTTAGACCCTGTTGCATAAGGAAAAGTTAGATTTGTACTAGAAGAAATGTACCCCGAACCATTTTGGCAAGACAGACTTCAACTGAGATAAAAATGCATATGGGCACCTCCAGGTTTGTTTGATCTCAAATCAGGCATTGATTGCTGGGTAAAAAAAGTGATGTAACAGTGCATACCTGCAAGAAGGAAAAAAACAAAGGAAGACTTAAATTCTCCCTACCAATCTTACGTAGGGCCCTCTATTTTTAAAAGCCTGTTTTGGGACGTAAAACTTTCTTTTTTTGTCCCTTGGCACCTTGCAGCTAGTTGCATGCAGTGCAATCATGCATCACAATAGATCAAGCAGAGGTGGAAGAGAAAGGACAGTTTGATCAGAGGCCAGAATTCTCTTCAGCTTGAACAGGAATCCAAGGTTACTTAAAAAGAAGGCACGTGCGGTCCCTTCAATAGGAAAAGCCACACAATATAAAAAAGCAGCAAAAGCCCAAGGAGAGGCTGAGTCTCCCACATAAAATTTACCTGGTTTGCTTAACCTGTCTCTATTTGAGTGGTCCTCAAATACCGTGATCTAAATTCTCCCTGGTTTCAGACCCAATGCCATCACCCATGGGTCTGTGACCTCCGGGCACTCAGCAAACCAAATGTTTTCTTCCATTTAACAGGCATTTTTCTCCACGAAAGAGCTCAACACAGAATTGTGTTTCCTCGCATCTACAAAAATACATAAAAGTATTTGAAAACTGAATCCCAGCCCCTGACCATGTCTTTGCCTCTTTCCTTTGTTGCTTTCTCCTTTCTTCCCCCAATCTGTTTCTTGGAACTTTTCTTAGCCCCGCCTTTCATTTGTAAAAAGAAATTAAATTAAATTAAATAAATAAATAATCCTACATCTCTCTGGCTTTTGTGCTTCTCCCCTTCCAAAAAAGAGAGAGATTTTAATCTGCAAAGCATCATTTTCCTCCTGTTTTGCATGCACTACAGGAGAGCATGGGGGGTGGGGAAGACAGCAAAAGTTACCTGCATTAGCATACAGACACAAATCCTTCCACTTTTCCCCCCTAGAGTTTGCTCCTCGGTCTGCTGCTCAGAGAGGAAGCCCGAGGAACTGAACTAAGGCGATCAGAGCAGACAGGGTCTCGCACAGCCCGAGCCAGAGAAGCCGAGTACGCGATGGCTGCTCCTAGGGGACTGCCGGTCCAGTGGGCAGAGGAGGATGCCCCACCGACCGGCCGTGCTCAGCCCCCCCTCCAAACGTCCAAAGAGCATCTGAGAGGAGGGAAGCCTTTGAAATACAAGCCGAGTTGCCTTTGGGGTTTCCCTGCCCTGCCCTTCAAAGAGCCCGGGAGATATCTGCTGGCTGAAAATGCAAGGAGCCAAGGTCTGGCGGTCTGTAATCCTCCCTAGGAGCACGTCGAGCAGACAGGGAGCCCGGGCAAGGAGGCGGGTGCAGGAGTCGCTGGGATGCCCCGGGACCAGCCACTTGCCCAGGGGGAGGCGCCGGGGCTGCCCAGCTCCCCTGGCAGCCTGCAGGCGGGCATGGGGGGCCGGGGTGCCGGGCGGCCGCCGCCTGGAGGAGGGGGAGCCAGGGAAGAGGAGGGCGAGGAGCCAGGGGGCTGGCTGCTAAAGAGGAGAGAGTTAAGAAGGTAATGATTGCCATCCTGCAGCAATTTCCCTGTGTCATGGCTCCTGTTTCCTAGCAACAGCATCCAGTCCGGCCAGCACAGAAGCAGCAGCAGCAGCAGCAGCAGGCTGAGCACCATTCAAGAGCAGCAGCAGCAGCAGCAACTCCAGGAGGGCTGGCAAAGCAGCCAGCCAGAGCAGCACAGAGGCGGAGGCTGCATCTGGCAGGAGGAGATCCGCAGCGGAAAGCAGGGAAAGATGAAGGATGGGGAAGGCGCAGCACTTCTAGGAAACTCCTGGCAATGGCTCTTTCGCGAGGCTGCGAGGGGGCTGCGGGCGCCCGGCCGCGCTCTCCCGCGCCCCGTGCCGGGGCTGTGAGCGGGGCCGACCGCAGCGCGGAGCCGAGCGGGCCGCGTCGGCGCTGAGATGTCCGCTCGGGCTGCAAAGTTTCTCCGCCGTCGCTTGATG